CTCTCTCAACCCCCTTGCATTCTCAAAACCCATATGGACCCTTCTCTCCATGCCCTCACATGTTGCCCACTATCATCCATATCTGAACCATTTAATGACTGGGCCACAGCTTGGATGGGACAACCAAAATTAACCAAGCAAAACTCAATGTCTTTATAAGGTTTAACTATACCTACAGTTTTAAACTTTCTTTGTATTTTTTTACCTTGCTGCTCTAAGCAAAGCTTCATTTGTTGGCCCGCTAAGTAAATGTATGGTGCATTATTCTATAACAATGTAATGCACATCAAATCAATCATGTTACAACTTTTTTACTTTGTGATATGCAGATCAGAATGAACCATTTTCTTTTGTGTTATGATGTTGGATTTGAATACTACTACTACTTATTTAAGGGAAAGAAGAGTACTTGGAATTGGAATCCCACCTCTTCAAATTCAAAAAGGAAATCTTGAAAGTCCAACTAAATTATTAGAGATTGATAGTGTATATTTTTTATCTCTTGAATATTGATATTGGGTAATGATAAAAGAAGAAAAAAAAGCACAGTTTAATTTAATTTGTGGCTAGAAGTTCATGTTTTCTAGGGTAAATAGGACAAGCAACTCCACATTAGTCAAAGCACTATCCAAAACCAAAATCCATTCTATACTTAAGATGAGTAAAAGGAGTCTATCAACACCTCACTTTCCCAATGAAAACCACAAACCCACATGATTTGTTTTGGGATATTGAAAGATCACAAAAAACTCCTCTCAAAAGAATATCTCTTTATGCCCCCATATCTCCTTCTCCCTCCACCCACTCCAACAAATAGCAAAAATTAAAACCCCATTTCCTTTTCACTCTTAATTAAACCTAATGAGCTACGGACCAAATGAAACCTTCTCCATCCTCTAATACCCTGTCTATTCTAAAACACTATTCTCTTCTCATATTTCTATTTGGCTCTATCTTGAACAAGGACCCTACACTAATTAGCCTCTTCACCTACTCTCTAAACCAGGAGAATTCAACCAAATGTTGACAGGTGTCAAATTCTAATCCTGACACGTGTCTGAGCTTCAAGCAAATGCTGGCCCCCACTTGTGCTGACTTGGCAATTCCAATCATGGACAAACATGGGGGTCATCCAAGACCCTAAGCTTTCATGCATACGCAGCCAAACTCCCATTATTGAACTCAGAAAATTAAGGGCTATGGGGGAATGGAATTGAATGGCAAAGGGCCCTGAATGATGGATCCAAAAACCAAAGTACAAAAATGAGGTGCAATTATTCATGCCATAGAATTCAACTCCCCCAAACAAGTATTTTAAATTTTTAAAAAGTAAGGAAAAGAGGAAAAAGAAAAAGTATACACAAAAAGAAAAGGAAAAAAAAAAAGTAAGCCCCAAAAGCATATAATAAACTCTATCATTTCTAGTAACAAAAACTATACCAAGTTGATTGATATTGATACCAATATCTTATATCCCTCCCCCTCTTCACTTTTTATTTTGCTACTTTCATTGACATAAACAAAGGAAAAGAGAATACTTCTCTTTCTATTTCCTTTTTACTCATCTCTCCCTCTATATCTCCCCCTTCTTCTCTTCTTTCTTTCTTCTTCTTCTTCTTTTGGAAAATCCCTCTGTGAGAGAGCAAGATAAAAATAGCAATGAAAAACGCAATAAGATGTTGCATATCTTGCATACTACCGTGTGGGGCACTTGATGTGATTAGAATAGTTCATGCTAATGGAAAAGTTGAAGAGATAAGTGAAACTCATGTAAAAGCAGCTGAGATTATGAAGCTTTACCCTAAACATGTACTAAAGAAGCCATCAACATCTTATTCCTCAGAAGAAGGGGTAATTTGTCCCAAGATCGTTGTAGTTCCTCCTGATGCTGAACTTCAACGTGGCAAGATTTATTTCCTTATGCCAATCCCTTCTTCAACTGAGAAAACTCGTTCAAGATCATCAACTACAACAAAGAAAAAGAAGACAAGATCTTCATTACCACAAGCTCATGATCATGGGAATATTGGCCGAAATAATGGTAATAGTAATAGTAATAGCAATAATTTGATGGTTTCTAATGATCAATATTTGAGTGAAATTTTGTCGGAGAAAATCTCAACACAAAGAGATAGAAGAAGAGGAAGAGTTGGTGTATGGAGACCTCATTTAGAGAGCATTTCTGAGACTTCAAGTGATCAACCATAAATTAAATGCAAGGTTATTACTACTATTTTTTCTTGATATTCATTTTTCAAGAATTTCTTCACTAAGGTTTCTCAAGGAAAGTTTGAACCCTTTCTTTTAGTTTTTTTTTTTTTTTTTTTTT